ACACACACACACACACACACACACACACACACACACACACACACACACACACACACACACACACACACACACACACATCTGGTGTTAACCCCGCAGAGCCTCTGCTGAAGATTAAAGAGGACAATCAGGTGATGAAGACGTCCCTGCTGTTGGACTCACCTGGACGGATACCCCGCTGCGCTGATCCGGATCGTCTCCAGAACCCCACAGGCCCGGAGTTGCTGCACCGCTCTACGGGAATCGAACCTGTAGAGACACAGACCGGTTAAAACAAGAAGGTTGAGACAGGCAGGATAGACAGACAGGAGAGGCAGACAGAAGAGACAGACAGGAGAGACAGACAGGACGGACAGACAGGACAAAGACAGGAGATAGACAGATAAAAGAGAGGCAGACACGAGAGACAGACAGAAGAGAGATAGACAGAAGAGGCAGACAGGAAAGAGACAGACAGTAAAGGCAGAAAGGAGAGACACAGACAGGACAGACATACAGGAGAGACACAGACAGGAGAGACAGACAGCAGAGACACAGACAGGAGAGACAGACAGCAGAGACACAGACAGGAGAGACAGACAGGAGAGACACGGACAGGAAGGACAGACAAGAGAGAAACAGACAGGAGATACACAGATAAAAGAGAGGCAGACACTAGAGACAGACAGAAGAGAGAAAGACAAGAGAGGCAGAAAGGAAAGAGACAGAAGAGAGAGAGACAGACAGGAGAGACACAGACAAGAGAGACACAGATGGGAGAGACAAACAGGAGAGACACGGACAGGATGGACAGACAGGTGAGACAGACAGGACAGACACAGACAGGATAGACAGACAGGAGAGAAACAGACAGGAGATACACAGATAAAAGAGAGGCAGACACGAGAGACAGACAGAAGAGAGATAGACAGGAGAGACACAGACAGGACAGACAGACAGGAGAGACAGACAGGGGAGACACAGACAGGAAGGACAGACAGGACAGAAAGACAGGAGAGACACAGACAGGAAGGACAGACAGGAGAGACAAAGACAGGAGCGACAGATAGGAGAGACGACAAGAGGGACAGACAGGAAAGAGACAGACACGAGAGAGACAGATAGGGGAGAAACAGACAGGAGAGAGACAGACGGGACAGACAGACAGGAAAGATAGACAGGAGACAGACAGACCAGAGAGAGACAGAAAGGAGAGAAAGACAGGAAGGACAGACAGGAAAGACAACCAGGAAAAAGACAGGAGAGCTACAGACAGGAGAAGCACAGACAGGAAAGAGACAGACAGGCGTGACAGACAGGAGAATGATAGACAGGAAAGGCAGGACACCGACAGACAGGAGAGACAGACAGGAGACAGACAGACAAGATACAGACAGGAGAGACAGACAGGAGACAGACAGACAAGATACAGGCAGGAGTGAGACAGACAGGAGAGACAGACAGGAGATAGACAGATATAAAAGAGAGGCAGACATGAGAGACAGACAGAAGAGAGATAGGCAGGAGAGGCAGACAGGACAGAGACAGACTATAGGAACAGACAGGAGATAGACAAATAGAGGAGAGGTAGACATAAGAGACAGACAGAAGAGAGATAGACAAGTGAGGCAGACAGACAGGAGGGACAGACAGGAAAGAGACAGGAGAGAGAGACAGACAGAAGAGAGACAGACAGGAGAGACACAGACCAAAGAGACAGACAGGAGAGACACAGACAGGAAGGAGAGACAGGAGAGACAGACAGGAGAAACACAGACAGGAAGGACAGACAGGACAGAGACAGACAGGAGAGACACAGACAGGAGAGTCAGACAGGAGAGAGACAGACAGAAGAGACAGACAGAAGAGACAGACAGGAGAGACAGACAGGGGAGAGATAGACAGGAGAGACAGGACACCGACAGACAGGATAGACAGAAAGGAAACAGACAGACAAGACACAGACAGGAGCGAGACAAACAGGAGAGAAACAGACAGGAGATAGACAGATAAAAGAGAGGCAGACACGAGAGACATAAAGAAGAGAGATAGACAGGAGAGGCAGACAGGACAGAGACAGACAGGAGTGACAGACAGGAAAGAGAGAGACAAGAGAGACAGATAGGAGTAACAGACAGGAGAAAGACTGACAGGAGAGACACAGACAGAAGAGACAGACAGCAGAGACACAGACCAAAGAGACAGACAGGAGGCACACAGACAGGAATGACAGACAGGAGAGACAGACAGGAGAGACACAGACAGGAGAGATAGACAGAAGACAGACAGACAAGAAAGAGACAAAAAGGAGAGACAGACAAGAAGGACAGACAGGAAAAACACAGGAGAGATACAGACAATAGAGGCACAGACAAGAGACAGACAGACAAAAGAGAGACAGAAAGGAGAATCAGACAGGAGAAACAGACAGGAAGGACAGACAGGAAAAAGACAGGAGAGATACAGACAATA